GGCGAAATTAGTGTCATCTTTCAGTTGCATTATTATACACCTAGAAGTCAGATGAATCAACTGAAAAATTCTTAGAAACAATAAATGATTCAGTAGCCCCCCAAGTAACCCTCTACACCAGCAGGACTCCTTTGGAAGAATTAAAACGTCATTTAGAAAACAAGTTAGCTAGTACTCTAACAGGCCAGAAACCCAAAAATTGAATGGATATCTTTAAAAACTTAAGAATTAAAAAAAGAATTCCTTCAGATCATAGTTACTTAAATAATCCAGTGAAAGTCATGATCCTTATCCCAGAAAAATGCATGTATATATAACAAAATTATAGAAATTTTTATGAAACAAAATGATCAAAATGTTGTTTTTAATACATCTTCCATCTAGTTACATATTCCTAAAGGCGATATTTCCATTTCTCTAACCTTTCACAAGGAATTATGCACTCAGATTTATTTCACAACAAAAGACCACTTTAGTACACCACAAATGGTGTACCTTTGAAATGTCCTTTGAATTTGGGGATAAAATAGAATTCTGAAAGGCCAAGATCAGGGTAGATAGAGTAAGGTTTTCCAATGAAATTCTCACAGAATGGCTTTTACTACCCTTGAAGAATGAGCAGGTACATTATTACAGGGGGGAAAAAACAATCTTCGATGTAACACTCCTGGCCTTTTTCTCACAAACACAATTTTCATTTTTTCTTTAAACATCTTCATAATAAGCCCCCAATGTCATTCTGTGTCCTTCGAGAAAATCTCTCAAGATTTCCCTTTTGGAACACCAAAATTCTGTCACCATACCTTTTTGTGCTGACCTTGCTACCTTGAAGTGAATGAGCCCAAGGTAGGGCAGCCAGCTCAGAAGGGTATAGTGACTAGTGGGTTATGCATTGGGCTGCCAACTGCAAGGTCAGCAGTTCAAAACCAGCTGCTCCACAGGAGAAAGATGCGGCTTTCTGCTCCCATAAAGAGTTACGGTCTTGGAAACCTACAGGAGTAGTTCTCTGTTCTATAGAGTCATTACAGAGTTAACTCCATGGCGGTGTTGTAGGTGACCGTCTATTACTATATTAATTATTATCATTACTATGACTACTTTGGTGGGTGAAGAGAGTTGTATGCCCTTCTTACATTTTTGAAAATAAGAAACAAAAACAACTCAAAACAACCCAAAACTACAATAATTGAAAACTCTGTGAAACACTGCCCGGGGTTGCCGTGAGTTGCCATGAGTTGGCATCCACTTACGGCAACTGGTCCTGGGAAAATTAGGACTGGTGATGCTTAGATGAGCCCTCGTGGTGTAGTGGGTTGCTAACTGCAAGTTCAGTAGTTCAAAACTACCAGCTGATCTACTCTTGTAGAGCTGCACTCTTGGAAACTCACAGGGGTGGCTCTACCCTACCGTTTAGGGTCATTATGAGTTGACATCAACTTGATGGCAGTGAGTTTGGTTTTTCTTGGTTTGGTGATTATTGGTTATGGAAGTCTTCAGCAAATGCTTGTTGTGGGCCTACTATGTGCTCGACATGATACTTGGGAACCACTATGAGAGTTCCAAAGTAAACTTCTATCACGGTCTGTGGACGTTCCATCCACCCTTTTCCTTTTCCACGTCCTCCTGAGAGGACTCACTGAGAGGGGGAGAACCTTCCATTCGCGCTGAAGTGATTTAGAACCTCTGAAAGCACAGCGTCATACTTACCTCTTACATGATGCGGTTAGTGCATAGTAAACGAAGCTCCGATTGTAATTTTGTAGTGGTGGCAGCCTTTCTTATTTGGCTTTCTCACGGGATACCTGGTGCAGGCCAGGGGTGAATCTTTTCATCCACTTGGACTTGATATTAGAGCTTCTTGTAGGATCCCTTGTTCAGACCCTCGCTTCATTTTCATTTAGTTTCCCTTCAACCCCCACCCCCCCCCGAGGCTCCCCGTTCCCATTCTTGTGAGCCATTCTCCTAGTTCCACTTTCCTCTAAACTTCAGGGAATCGGTTCTGAAGTACTGCCTCTAGCTGTGTTGATGGTTCCCATCTTTAGTTTAACACTCTTTCAAGGATCCTACTTGAAATTCTCACTCCTTGAGGACTCTTGATATCATCCGAGTGTTTCTTGCGGGAAGAGACAGTAAGATATGAATGACTGATTCTCTTAATTGCAGCACAATTCCATTTCCAAAGGGAAGCATGTGGCATCTCTAAATGTGTAGAAAGCACTCAGAAAGCACTTGTGGTATTTCTGTTGTAGCAGCACTGGATCACTAAGACAGCACTGTGGGGGTCAGAAATTAGGCAAAACCTGCCAGAAAATTTGGCAAAGATGACAGTGGCTTTTTGTGTCCTTAAGTTTTAAGAGCTCTCATCACTGGTCTTTTAACTAGATGAGCGGGTAGACACCCTATGGCTCAAATTTTCTCTCTAGCATAATGGCCCTCTATGCTAAGACTTGAGAGTCTCGCTTGTCTAATGTGATGCAATTGCCAATGCTAAAGTTACAGTCTAAGCAGTACAATTTTGGTAGCTCAGATTCACAAAGCAGTGAAAGTAGGACTAGAGGAAGTATGCCAGATAAAACAATGTTAACTGGATCTCACAAAGTGAACAAGAGAGATATGAAAAATGTAATCTTAGAAATATTGCTTGATTTCCTAGCCAAGAACCTATCCAGCATGAATAAAATCTAGAGGACCCTAGAGAAATCAATGTAGATATTTAATTGAGTGCGTATTGATGTATCTTTTTTCCTTCCACTACTATAGCTCTTTACTGATACAAAGAAATTGTTCATATTGTAAATGTAATTCTTGCAGCGCTTGGGACTCCTTAATATGTCCACTCCAAACTTATCAATATGATTAATGTCCAAAGGCCAAAACAAAACAAAAAAAATCACAAAATTCATTGCCATGCATTGATGCCAACTCATAGTGACCCTGTAGAACAGAGGAGAACCACCCCATGTGAGTTTCCAAGACTCTAACTCTTTACAGGAGCAGAAAGCCTCATTTTGCTCCCAAGGAGTTGCTGGTGGTTTTGAAGTGCTGACCTTGAAGTTAGTAGCCCAACTTATAACTACTACACAACCAGGGCTCTGTTTAAACTTGAACCTGGAGAGCTGCACCTCAGTTTCCCTGCTTATGAGTTAAGTACTGGTGTTGGTTATAAAATATTTAGCATTCGCATTCTGAAATGAACATGTGCAATTGTAATTGTTAAGATAATCTACATGAAAATTAAAAGAACAAAAAGTAAACTATTCCCACACAAACAGTAAGTCTACGGCTCATAAACAATTTATTCTTAGTTCAATTTATAACTGAGCAAAGGCCTATTTATCATTTGTGTGGGATGAGGAGAGAAAAGACATGAAAGAATAAATTAAAAAATTTATCTTTCTTTTTTTTATTTATCTTACTTACTTCCGCAAGTAAAGAAGTCTTTCATCCATATTCTGACAGGACCAATTCTTATTTTTTTCTTTTACTGTATTTAGAGGTCTATTGTTTCTGGTATTTCTAATCATTGCAGTGTGTGGAATTCTTGGATGGAACCCGACTTTCCTGTGCTTAGTCATTTTACTACTAGTGCTTGCATTTTCTTTTCCCAGAAGAAAGATCTCTACGTTCCTGGTTGGGGTTAAAACACAAACAACTTCACTGCCATTGAGTCGATGCTTGCTCACAGCCACCCTGCAGGACAGAGTAGAGCTGCTTAAGAGGTACTGGAGCTGTAAATCTGTACAGGAGCAGCGGCCCCCTCTTTCTCCCATGCACGGACAGATGGGCTTGAACTGCCGATTTTTCAGTTAGCAACTCAATGCTGAACCTGAGGTTTTTTTTACATAAGACACTTATTAAAACGATGTTAAAAAATGGCCTTGTATTTTTTAGATTCACCTCCATCATATTGGAAAGTAGATTAAACGACAGTGTTAATCTTTGAATCATGGGTCTCCCAAGACAATTTCAGAAGGTCTGAAAGATCAAACCTGTTTTCATAATAGCATTAGGACGTTAATTACCTTTTTTGCTGTGTTGATCTTTGCAAGGAGAGTGAATATGCAAAGTGGGTCAGCCTCCTCTGCCTCAGTACGTCTTGAGACAGCGGCCCAAAACGGCGCTGAGTCATTGGTCCTTGCTGCTCCATGCTTGCAGTTAAAAACAACCCAAAACAATAGAGTGCCCCCTTTGCTTAAGAATGCCCTTCATGGAGCTGAGAAACGGATTAATCATATTAAATCTCTACCCTGGAGTACAGATGGGAACACGCAGAGCTCTCCCACTGCCTACCAACGTTCACAGGCTGTTTCCCAAAGAAGAAGCGTGTGTGTCGGGGTTTGGGTTGCAAGCTGAAGTAGCTGCTATTTTTCATGAAACACAAGTTTTCACTAAAATAAAAAAAAATTTTTAAACAACCCCAAACCGTCCAACTATGGCTGTTGAGACTTGGGTAGATGGCCCATAGTTTCTCCACAAAAGAACTGAGTGAGTGTCACGTCAAGAAGACAACTGATGATATGTGATGCCAATCATCAAATTTGAGGTTTCGAACAAAAAGTAGAATTTCCGAAAACTTATACCCATCATCATGAACTTGGCAGCTTTTTAATTGAACAGTATTGGTAGCAATGTTAAGAAATTTTATTTTTGGAGATAGCGTATAATGAAATGTGTTGGCATCTGTATAAGTCAATGTTTGCCAATTACCAGTATATTCCAAATGGCCCATACATTGGGTTATAAAATCATAAATGAGTGAAAGATATATTCAATGTTGAAGATAAACCAATGGATTTTTAATCCACCAGTGTACAAATTTTTTGGTATCCTTTCATACCTCACAACAAAATTAACATTAAGAAACTGCCATTTGTTGGATTTGATGTAATATCAGAGGAGACTATCCATCACTATCTGAAAGGCTATGCAAGTTCTCCTCCTTCTGACTAGTGAGACTGAATTTCACAAGAGATTGAATACAGAAGCAAATAGGAGATTCCACCCTCCAGTTCCCTTTCCCATTGGATCAAAACCCTGGTCCGGGTGGTCGTAAAAGGAGGAAAGAAGCATCGAAACTGCCCCTCAGTGCTCCTGGAGCTTGGGCTAGTTTCAAACGGTCTAATAAAAGAAAAAGCAAATAGGAGATTCTGGTTATTTTTTATTAAGTCACGTCTTAAAAAGATATGAAAAAATTACTGCTTTTTGTCGTGAAGAATATAGCTGTTTTCATAAAAAATGGTATGTTAACAAGCTCATAGTAATTTTAAAATAAATTATTAATATATATCTAATTTTTTTTAGTTTTAACCTGTCATATCCCTAAAACAAACCCACTGCCGAACCATCAGAGGGAGAAAGCTAAAGCTTTCTACTCCTGAAAAGAGCTACAGTCTCAGAGAGACGCAGAGACAGTTCTACTCTGCCCTAGAGGGTGGCGGTGAGTCGGAATGCACTCAATGACAGTGAGACTCTTTCATCAGGTGAATAGTAACACATGAAACCCATGTAAACAAAAGCCTTCTGAGGGCCTCGATAATTTTTAGGAGTATAAAGAGGTCCTGGTGCTACCAAGTTTGAGGATGGTGGATCTACATATACGTAGACCAGACCTGGGCATACTTCTGTTATGAGATGGATTTTTATCTTAATATTGTTTTTTGTAGCATACTGATTGCTGCACAAATTTAGGAAATGACGCTCACACGTCTTTCACTCATTGCCCACCCCCACCCCTTGAGACTCCTTCAGTCCTCTTTTTACTAGCCAAGGGATGTACTCTACAAAGGCAGTGGTGGTTGTGGTTTGTCTCATCCCAGAGCCTCCCACCCAGGTTGAAGGACACAGCTGTATTTATGAAAACCAGGCAGGTGAAAGGAGGTGGCGAAAGATCAAATTTCCTACACACACACCTCATGGCAGGTGGAAAGCTCAATAACTGATCATGAAGATCTGGCACAGCAATTGTTTGCAGAAAGGAAAAGAAAATGGGTTTCTGAGTATTGTTTTGAATGATCCCTGGCAACAGCTGGGCAATGATTGAAACCTCCTAGGATTCAGACTTCAAACTTAAAAATACATTTGCATATGCCAGCATTAGAAATGGAATCCCAAACTGCTGCCAATTCAGACAACCAAAAGGAAATGGAGATCCATATTACCCCAAAACTAAGCTTGGGGCTTTAGGGGACTCAGCAGCTGTGTAAACCGACCGGAACCCTCTGCTTTTCTCGGCCAGACACTTGTTTCAATACCGAACCAAAACACACCATGATGAGAGGTGCTGAAATGAGAACGGAAGATGACAGGTCTCATTCTTGGGTTTGAGAAGAGCTGGGAATAATCCCTTCAAATTTATGGTTGTATCAAAGGAGCCCTGGTGGTGTAGTGGTTACACTTTGGGCTGCTAACTGCAAGGTCAGCAGTTCAAAACGACCAGCTGCTCCCTGGAAGAAAGATGAGGCTTTCTACTGCCACACAGGATTACGGTCTTGGGAACCCTCAGGGGACGTTCTACCCTGCCCTGTTTCTAGGAGTCAGAATGGACTGGATGGCAATGATCTCAGTTGCTGGTGTTCTGGTTGTAGGTTGAGGTGCCACTTGGCTGCTGGCTGCAAGGTCTGTGATTTGAACCTGTCACCCGCTGGTTGGAGAAGGATGAGAGTGTTGACTCCTGTAAAGATGTATAGTCTCAAAAACTCTAGATAAAGGTTCCGCGAGTCAGAGTCGACCAGATGGTGGTGTTTGCTTTTTGTTGTTGTTGCGATTTTTCATCACAAAAAGTGAGATGGAGATGCAAGGACCACTGGGAAGGCCAGGGGAGATGTGAATTGACTTCAAAGGGCCAAGACAGGGGAAGACACCCACACAGAACCGTTTGATGTGCAATTCCCTTGGGTGGTGCAAATGGTTAACAAGTTGGCTTCTATCAAAAGGCTGGAGGTTCAAGTTTACCTAAAGGTACCTGCTAAGAAGGCCCAGTGGTTTACTTCCAAGACAGCAGTCATTGAAACCTAATGGAGCTCTCGTCTACTCAGAAACACAAAGTTGGACCTGACTCATAGTAACTGATTTCAACTCAACAGAAAATTTGACAATAACTATATTACTATCAAGTTAAATGACATACGCATTTAAATATTCTTCTCAGACCTCTATTTTAAAAATATGCCTCCCATTTTATAACATTTTGTTTGGGGCTTTCTTTACTCAGGTTAAACTGCTATTAAATCAGTAACATGCTATGCCTTTCAGCTGTTTCTCACCGTGATACCTTTTAAATGATTGCAACGAACCTTTGTTGACTTTGTGATGGTTTGGGTTTCTTGAATTAAGGTGCAATTAGTGATAGGGACAGAATACATGGAATACTGATTGATGATGATGGTGATGATGATGATGATGATAGAGGAAAAGGAAGAAGGAGAGGAGGAGGAAGGAGAAACGCCTTTGTTTGGATGATTAATAATTTCCAGGTATAGTTCTCAGTGCCACTTAGTATTAATTTATTTACCTCGATCACTGGATTCACAGATGGCCTGAAGCTAAGATGATCAGAATTTAGACATTTGGGATAATGGGTGGAGATGAATTATAGTGGCAACGATAAGCAGGGGAGAAAGGGTGAACCAGAGAACAAGGAAAATAAGAGGGGGTTGATTTTGAAAACGTTAAAGAGGAAGGAGTTAGTGTGTATAGTCCAAAGAAATTGGAGTGGCTGCTTTGAACTTTGGGATCTCTGTTGTCGGGTGAGAGTTACTTGGAGCTCCAGGTAAGAAAGTGAAGAGGTAAAATGGAACGGGGCTTGGGCAGAGTAGAGCAGGAGGGTTTGCAAGGGAACTTTAGCTAAGAAGAGGAAAGAAAAAACTAACTAGCCGAATAAAGAGGGCGTGGTCAGGGGAGAGGCAGAGAGGGAGTTCGGAATATGGGACTCTGATGGGAGGAGAACTGAGCAGGTCACACAAAAGTGCATTCATTTTCCCCAGAGAGGATGGAGTTGAGATGGAACTGAGCCTTGTTCCTAAATCAGGGTGGAAGCCTGATGGCATAGTGAGCTACCATTGGGTGGCTAACCTCATGATCAGCAGTTCAAAACCTCCAGCCACGCCAAGGAAGAAAGGTGAAGCCTTCTGGTCCCCTAATGCCTGCGCGACAGACAGGAGCAGTTCCACTCTGTCCTATAGGCTAGTGGGGAGTTGGAAATGACTGGATGGCAGTGGCTTAAACCAGAAAGGAGTTATGCCAGAAGTCTCTTGGTGAATGGTAGAATGTGTTGATGATCAAATTGGGAGGAATTTTACACCCCAAAGTGGGTTTGCTTTACCTTATCTCTGTGGATGAAAGAAATCACCTTTATATGAGTGGGAAGTAGGTGAGCAATGATTAGCTGTAGGTAACTCTCTGACTCATTTTCTTAGGTTGAAAGCATCATAATTGCCTTTGACCTACATTTGCCATCAGCACAGGAATATCTATACTTCACTACACCACCCCCCACCCCGCCTCCCACTTTGCTCCTGGGTTGCTTTATTTGCTGTACAGCAATATTTAGTGGGTCAGATTGGCAAGCACCTCAGGAAAGCTTGTGGATCTCAGAGCTGACACTGCATTTAACACTACAATTTAGGTCATTTCTTTATGTGTAAAGGCCCAGGAACTCCCAAAATGTGCACCTTTATAAGCCCATCTCTTGAGATTTCTTATTCTCCTAGAGGTTAAGTGTCTCTTTTGGAAGAGAACCCAAAATCAATATATGAAAAGTGCTGTATGGCTGTGTCTTTTAACATTGTAGCTGCACGATATTTAAAACGTGAAGAGCATTACGTGAAATGCCACTATGAGCTACAATCCCCTTTTTTAAAGTTCCCTGTGTATGACTGTTGTTTGTGATGTATTGCGGCTGTGCCTGGAACATCACCTTAAATGACTGTCATGGTCAGTTATTTAACAATTGTTATTAGAAAGCCTTTGCCCTCTACAGAGACCTACCAATGATATACTTCACTTCCAACAAGTGGATGCACTTCTTTGCAAGAAAATCCTAGTGGTTACAGGATGATTTTACTGCATAGTTTGCTCCTTAGCAGCAATCATGTACAACTGATGTCCTAGGACACTTTTGATAGACTGAGGGAAGGTAGACAAAAATTGAGGGGATACGGAGGAGAGGGGAGGCTAAGTTTTCCAAGACGTTTCCAGTAGCTGCTTTCAGCATGAAGTGACTGACACCTCCCTGGCTTAAAACAACAAGGAAACCCACAGTGATCTCTTGATTGTATATTTAAGTTTGACCACTGAACCTTCTCAAGCATGCAACTGGATTGACTCCCACTGGGAAGAGTGGATGTAATGTATTAGATGGCTCCCAGAATCAGGTTCTAATTCTCTCTGGCCAGGAATTTTACCCACTGATGTTGAAAATTATTGGCAGCCATGGAGTTAGTGATAAACTTGACTTTGGCTAGTTTGACAGGCCATGATCAGTTGGAGCTGATTCGAAGTGGCAGGGGATGTTCTGCTCTTTCTCCTCGGGAGGCAGGGTACTCACTCTCTGGCCGTCCTCCCTAACTACTTCATATCCGTGAGGCATCGACCAAACACCTGCACACCTTGGAAAGAGGGACTCATGTTTAAATAGTCTTTTGTATGTAGGGACTCCATACTTGGTTGCACAGATTTTCATCTGCCCTGAAGGAAGTTTGTTGAAACCTCAAACACAACACACTCAAAGTTATCTTGATTTTCTTCTTTTTCTCCCCTTCACAAGTCCACTACCCTTCTCTTTAGCCTCTCCGATTTGGGTTGTTAATGAATCTCTTTGGTTCTCGCATCTAAAGGCAAAGAAGAACTGGCTCTTCCTCTTGATTATCGTATTTCCTGTTCATGGTGTCTCCATTTTGTCTCTTTGTTTACCTACCATCCCAGTGCAGGGGCAATTGATCCAGAGAGATGTGAGCACGCACAGCCCACCAGCGTGCTTTACTTCTGCTTTCTGCTCTAATTTTGTAGGCAGGGAGTAAATCAATTCCATTTTCATTTTTGCCATTTGTCTTTTCAAAAAGCCTCTATGGATTTCTGTCCCCCGTTCATTGTGCTAAACAGTATGCATTTTCTGTTTTTCCAAGGCTTCATCAGTTGCCTCTACACCTGACGTCTTACCAACAGAAGTCTGTAATTCTTTACTCAGATTCATCCGTATTGTTACACTGAGTCTCTAAGTTACCTCGTGTGAAGACTTTCATGCACCCACATCTCTCCTTCCACTGCCCATTCCTGACCTCATTCAGTATCCAGTTCAAATTCCAATGCTTCCTTGAAGCTTACCCTGGCCTAGTCCGTCAGCTCCTGATGGTCACTTTGTTCTTCCTTCCCTCTGAATGTGGGCCTGGTGTAGTATTTCAGAGCAGGGACACATTTGGATTTAGATTCTGCCACACGTTGACTGTGTCGTTTGAGGTCTTGCTGAGCGCTTTCTTCTTAATTGTGTAAAGGCAACAACAACAGTAATAGTGCTCTTGAATTGTGATTAAACGTGAGAGTGAGTGTAACGTGTCTGACACTTAGTAAAGACTCAATAATCAATAAGTCAGTATTTCACAGAGCATCTCGAGACCCACCACATGCCCACTGATCCGAAGGGCATATACTATGAAGGGGATCATGTAGTTGGTGTGGGGTTCGCTTTGGACCCTTATGCTTTTCGGGCACATGGAATTGATCGAATGCTCAGCAAATGTTTGTTGGAAAACTGAAGACGGGATATGATCATGATTGACAACAGTTGGTTGCCAAGATCATTATTGTTATTTCATAGTCTTGGCAGTCACACTGAGGGTAGGAAAGTGTGCGGTAAGAACACGGTGGACTTCCTGAATGTGTGGGCTTGTCTGCAGACGTGCCTGAGCCTGACAGCAGGACAATGGCAGCAAGTGTGAGGCCATGTAGGTGTTTCGCTCGCGTTGTTGTGGCTGCTGTTGCTCTGTAGACTACACTGGGGGACATGCACTCATCGGAAACTGTCCCAAACCAGGCTCATTGCCAACAAGGCAGTTCAGAGCCATGTTCATCATCGTTGCATACAAAGAACCCGCAAATGAATGCTCATGACCGTTGTGGATAACTGTTGATTTTTTTAATGTTTATTTATTTGTTTTAATGCATTTGAGTTAGGAGGGGTTTCTTTTTCAGTTTTGTTAACTTCCAGTCTGTCATTTGGGAGCCAAGAAGAGACAAATAATTTAATTTCCAATCAGTAAGAGTCTTCTCCAAACTTATTTTATGTAAAAATATTTTAGGGTCAACATCACCATTAACATTAGGATGAAGTCTCTTTTCCCAAGGTAATCAATTTTCCCAAGAAATTGCCACAGTATTCGCTCTTCTTACGCATGTTCACAAACACTGTGCTTTAAAAACGGAAAGTGCAGGCATAAGCAATATTACATTCGATATGCAAACGAAAGCTTTATCAAAATATTGGCTGTTGTGGAGATGAAATTAATAGTGACAATTTAGGAGGAGTTGTACAGAGAAAAAGATTAATGTGTTAGGTCTCCAGTGGCTGATGCACGTGATGCTAGGCAAGACGAAATCTCCATGTACCCCTGATAGTGAATCCGTAGGCGTTTGAACAGGGTACATCTTTGGGCCTTCATGACAGCCTATTTCCTTTTCTCAGAATGGGGATGAATCGGTCCATTATCATCTAAATTGGAAATTATGATGATGGCTTTTCTTTGATAACCTTATAATATTTTTCTTTATTTGTTAAGAAACTTGGGCAGACAATGTGTTGCTTATCCTGAAGTATGCTATTTTTCTTCAAACCAGAATAGACAATAACACCCTCTTTCTTCAAATAGTTAGCTACATATAGCAGGGGGAAGATTTTGCATAGCGTGAGACCAGGTCTAATTTGAACTATTCCTCTGCTTTTTGGGCTTGGCTAAATAAGACCCAAAAGTCAAAATTTCAAACTGGATTTACTTTTAGATGATGATGATAGTACAGTAAGGTTATCTGTGGAAATATGTATTTTATATATTCCTGTTTTTTCTTATTTTTTTCTCCAAGGGAAGCAACATGTCTGACAAAAGTGACTTAAAGGCTGAGCTGGAGCGCAAAAAGCAGCGCTTAGCACAGATAAGAGAGGAGAAGAAGCGGAAGGAAGAAGAGAGGAAAAAGAAAGAGGTAAGCGCTATATGTGTCGGGGTACTATGGGGGGGGCGAGAAAAATCATTTGATTCTAAACAATTACTCAAATGGATAAATACTCCAAAGGCTACTGCCATTGAGCTGGTTCTGATTCATAGTAACCATACAGGACAGAAGAGAACTACTCCTTTAAGTTCCCAAGGCTGTAAATCTTTCCACGAGCACAGAGACTTATCTTTCTACTGTGGAACGGCTGGTGGGTTTGAATTACTGAATTTATGCTTAGCAACGAAAGCAACCCACTCTGACACCAGGGGTCCCTAAAGGGATAAATAGAACCCTCTACAATAGTCCTTCTGTGATACCTGAGTAAGAGAAGCAGATAGCTGCACAGGCTGTGATAGGTCACTGCCATCTGCTATACGCTGGTCAATGCCACTGGTCAATAGCCACTGCTATATGCTGGTCAATGCCACTGAAATGGTCAATGCCATCTGCTATACGCTGGTCAATGCCACTGGTCAATAGCCACTGCTATATGCTGGTCAATGCCACTGAAATGGTGGATAGCTATTGGCCAGGTGGTGCACACACCCCTAGTTCACCCCAGACTTGTATCTAACCCTGAGAGTGGTCTGTGGCCACTAAATTTGTTAGAAATATCTTAATCTTTATGCCTTTCAGTTTCCTATCTTTAATATGGGAATAATAATATATTTACTTTATGTTTAAAAGTTTAACAGAGTTGACTTTATAAAGCACTTCGCAGTACCTATAATATAGGTGGTACTTGGTGTTAATTCTCTTAAGGTTTTGAAAAATGACCAGAAAGAGCCTCTTAGGGGCAATCGATACTCATGGATTTACATTATTTCTAAATGACATCTGTTAGAGTAAATAAGAGTCCAAGATTCAGGCAACACTGCCAAAACTGCAGCAGGGACCCTGAGGTGGAGCCTAGCCCTTTGGCTGGCCAGCCCCAGAATCCAGGACTGCTGATTCCCAATCGCCTTGCTGTCATATCTTATTTCCTTCCTTTATCTGAATCCAACGAAGTATTTATCTTTCACTCTCCAGTGTGTTGTGACATTGTCCAAATATCTCACATCTTGTTACAAAAAACAGATGTCAAAGATATGTTTGGATCGTCATCTAAGAAGAAAACTCTCTTTGCTCGTATGTATAGAAACCTGATCTGCCTCCCTACTTGAGTTTTCTTGAAAAAAAGACAGGATATTTATATGCCTTGTAATCCAAATATGTGTTTTTCATACTATAAGGCTGGGTGGCCAAGGTAACCGATATATAACAATTATTATTTTTCAACAAAGTAAAACATAATTGCGGTTGCATTTTAGCCTTCTGACATCCTGCATCTCTGGGTACCATTATACTTTCTTTGATGGATGTGGTAGTTTATTTGTCCTTGACAGCATACATAATGCTTTCTCCCTGGGAAATTTTTGCTCTTAGACATGCAATGTTTGAGTGAAATGGAGGTGAGAATTGACAAGGGATGGCTATTCATTTCCATACGAAGCCAAAAAGAGCATTAAGCTATTATATTTCCCTTCCTTCAAATGTCAACACTTACTGTAGTTTTAAAGCACCTGCTATCCCTTTACTAATAACCAGTTTCCTTTTAAACTGACAGTCTAATATCCAACTTGAATTTCACAGAATGACCACAAAATGTGGTGTGATATGGGAAATCAGGTTCCAAATTATGCTGTCTGCTTCATCTTTTTCATTCTACATATTTTGGGGCAAATTACAGGCACATAAGGATGATAGAAGTAGGCCACCCCTCTGGCTCCTACACCGAGCATGTTTGCCTGGCAGAAATTTAACTTCTTACACAGTGGCAAGAGCTCTGAGAGATTGGTGGGGGGAGGGAAGGGGAGAGTGTGAAACACCTGGGCTCTTCTTGGTCTCACCCTACTTTTAGAATTCACATCACATGAAGCCTAGCTCTCCTCCTGCTTTCAGACTGTGGTTACAGAGCCCTGTCCCTCAAACTCAGTTGGATTTGCTACAGAAAAGTCACATCTTTATACAAGTCTTGGTCTCCCATCCTCAGAGTTTATGATTCAGAAGAGCCAATTGGCATCAAATTTGAGGAACCACTGGGCTGTATCCTTTTTAAGACTTATCCTTTTTAAGACTTAAATCTTTTCCTTCCCCAACTTCCTACCTCCCCCACCAAGTAATTTTTTACTAGAGCTTTCGTCCATTCAGGTTAAGCCCCTTTTGTAGATAATGATGACCTGGTCTGCGTTGAGCATCTGAGGCTGTGAGACGAAACAGGAAGCAGTATGCACAATGATAAAGAACAGAGGTTTTGTAGTGGCCAGGAAGGCTGGCTGTGCCTGCACAGGATGGCCTTGAGGGGCCTTGGAACTTCTCCATCCCTCTTTCCGGTTCTGTAAAGTGTAGACAGTCGTTCCACCTTGCTCACCAAGTTCTGGGTGTAATAGAGGAGGTGAAATAGAACAGTGGGGCAGGTCAGTCAAAAGCAGCCATCATCCAGCTCCTGAGGTCAACGGATAGAGTAGCGTGGGGGTCCATGAAATGACTGCTTACACTTGTCAAGATCATTGCTGCTGAAGTCATCTTTCAGAAATGTTCCCTGATTAGAAGAGACTTGTCATTGAGATCCCCTCGGTTCATGGGGAAAGTCCCTGGGTAGTCCTAATGGCTGCTTTACCCTACCCCCAGGGGCGTTGGACGGTCCCTCAAACTCAGTTGGATTTCTGGTGATCTGCTTCTGAGAAGTCATGTCCCTGAAAACCCTGTCATGGCCAGTTCTGTTTTGCACAGAAGTTAGAAGAGACTTGACTGCAGCAAACGACACTGTCATGGCAGGAGTCGCTGAATGGCACAAATGGTTAAGCCTTCAAGAGGCAATAGCCATACCACCTCAAATGTGCCCAGTCTCTTCTGATCTCAACTGCTGGACAGAAAGGTAGCAGGGTCCAGTCTGCCAGAGACACCTTGGAAGGAAGGCCTGGTGATCTAGTACAAAAAGCCAACCATTGAAAAAGTCTGTGGAGCCTAGTTCTACTCCGATGTGCATGGGCTCCCCATGAGTTGTCATCAGCTCTGTGACAGCACGGTTTTTCTGTGGGATCACCGCTGAAAGAAAGGGGTGTTGCTCTGTGTCATGGGATCCATTCCAACCCATCACGATTCTTTGGAACAAGCAGACTTCCTCACGGGGGTTGCTAGGCTGTCATCTTTACAGAGGCATACTCCCTCATCTTCCTCCTGAGGAGCAGCTGTGGGGTTTGAACCACCAACCTTGCAGCTACCAGCTGAGCAATTAACCCTTGTGCCACCAAAGCTCCTCTTGAAAGACAGGTAGATGTCTAAGACTCAGACATCTCAAAACTCTTAAAGATGATATGGCCAAGCTTAACAATACTCCCTCTGCCACCCATCTCATCCAGCTAGTTGTCCAACCCAAAACCCTAGGCTCCTCCTACCATCAGGTCCTCCCCTAAGTGTCCTTCACCTTGCAGTTCTCATCTCAGCGTCTCTTCCTCCAACACACCTCCTCTAGTACCTTTCTACACCCAGGACTGGGATGACCGTGCTCAACCCTTGCCCTTGTCAAGTCATTTAGCAAAGAGCAAGCTGTTCGCCTCGCCACTTGGCCTTCTATCTGAATCCAGTGTTTTGCTTACAGGGCTGTATGGTTTTTGTTTATTTATTTTCATCATTGAGTCCATGTTTAGGCAAACCCTGCCACATGGGAGGCCTTCAGGAAAGTCTTGTTTGTAGAATGAGTAAACACACAAATTAGGTAGGGCCCATCCGAGAAACTAGGCCCGACAGCCTTTCCAAGCACACGGAGCATTTTGTTGTGCTGGTTCCCCTGTGTGTTTCTTTGAGAGCTTCTGATTCTGTCTGTGGGATGCTCTAACCTGCAGACCCTGTCAATGACACCTGAATTTAAAAGTTCCTCCTTTGTATGCCACTACAAAGCCTTGGAAATGGCCCAAGCTTCTAGCCTTGACTTCTGTAAACTTTCTGTAAATTTACATTTTAAATAAAACATATGAATTTAGAATAAAAACTCTTTGACCAGAGTGACATTATTTTGCCCTGGGGGTGGGCTGGGGGAATGTAAATTAGGCCCACACAAGCTGATTGTCTTCCCAGACTCCAGAAAACCGTGTCCATGTTGTATAACATGACCACGCTCTACTCCCATGGATGTCAACTGCCTTTTCAGTTGTGGCTTTATGAATAAAATCTGATTTAAAATAAATATAGTGGCTACCATTTAAGACACAGGTCTGGTTTCATGAGAGGTTGGCTCTAGTGCAATGAGGTGTGTTTAACAGGGCCACCCTGAGGTTTTGCCCTGTCCTTGGCCTTCTGCTGATTTGCTGGAAGGTAGGAGGTGGGCAAGGGTTTCTTGGCCTGGTCTCCTTTGTTCCTCTAATAAACGTGGAACC